CATCATGTCTGGGGTAATGTCTTTTCGCTTAGCTTATAGATTAAGATGTGTGAAAATCTACCCTGCAATCCAATGCGAATGCAATCCTCTCCCCGTTTCACGGGTCAGGAAATGCTCTCAGGATCACAGATGCATTGCAGCCAGGAACAATCCTGTCTACTCCAAATGTGCAAACTACCATCCCTCCGCATGGTCCCCCAACTCTCAAGTCCTGCTTGCCAACATGAACGGAATGAGGCAACGCTACCTCGATCGTGCACACTTTGGAACAAACAGCCCCGACAACAGGCGATGCAATGAACTCAAACGATTTGAAAACGTACGCCCAACTTTACTCACCACATCTTACTCCCTCTTAGTGGATAGAAGAGAGTCGTGCACCTTACAAGGACGTAGTTGGCACACGCTTCCAACCTGAATGCTGTTGCCCCTCCGTCGCACCAGCAAGAAGGATCCAGCGGAAATACTGTCTCTAACTCTTCTCATCACCCATCCAGTCCACACAAATTGACACCAATTTGCGCTCTGGAATACCTATTATTAGTTTTATTAATAACATACTTTACCACACTTTCGTCGTGAGATGGTAGCAAATTGGAATGGTATCGAGTGTCAGAAAGGCACAGTAGAAAGCATAAGTCAATTGGTATAACGCGGTCCGATCGTTGCGTATCTTCGTCGATTTTCACTCCACAGTGACCGATTTGGCCAGGTTGCGTGGACAGTCGACCTTAATGTCAAGAACACTCTTGATTTTATGACAGCAGAACCTTCCTCCTCGCGAACCACTAGCCACTTACGTCGAGTCCCTTCATCCGGGCAACGTGGAATGCGAGCAATTGTAGTGGAATAACGGCCAACACACTTTGCAAACAGTCAACAGTGTGTGGTATCTCAAATATCGCCTTCGACAGCTCCTTCAACTGCGGGTCCGCCTCCTCGTCCGTGATCAAAACAGGGTTCCCGTGACGCGAATGCACCTCGTGGAGGGCGTTGAGCACCTTCTGCCAAAACAAAACACGCAAATCTGGTTGGACCACTAGCTATTGAAAG